TTGAATGATACATTTTTGATTTCATCGAAACTTAATGCTTTTACTCGCGTTGTTTTTGTTTTTTGAAGCTCGAAATCAATATCTAAAGTTTGGTTGTGGATTTTTTGTACAACAGCTTCTGTGAACGTTTTATAGTCATGATCAAAATCCATTTGTTTGATTTATTCGAGATCTATTTTTATTATATCTTAAATTATCACTGATTTTCAAAACATTGTTCTCAACAATATACTATTATTTGTTAATTTGTTATAATAAATAAAACTATATTACAAAAACAATCCCATAAGGCTAGCTTTTTCCATATAGCTAGCTGTGGTTACTGTACTTCTTTCTTTTAACTCGCCAACAACCCAACACTTCTGTTTTTTACAGTTTTTAAAAAATATGTCCCAAAACTATTTAAATAATTTGGATTAAATATTAGGTGAATATCCCCGAAAAACACATTAAACCAGTAATAACAAACAGAAATATTCATAATAAAATAATCAAGAATAAATTTAAAATAAATACCAAAAACATGTTTTGTAAATAAAAAAACAAAAAAGCAAAATACAATAAAAAATACCACAAAAAAATACCACAAAAATCAACTAAAAATCAACAAAAAAAATAATACTAAAAAATAATACTTATTATGATTACTTTACTTTCTTGTCATCAACTATTTTACCTCATTCCGATTTGCAATTATTTTTTTTCATTACCCTATTTCTTTTAACAAATCCAAGTTTGTTATATTAGAACAGTTGTCACAAACGCATTGATAATGAAAAGAACATACATATTTATCACACTTGCAACATCTTCTCTTAAAGTTGCTTGCCGATACTCCACATTCTTTTAAATCCAGACAAATTCTGCATTCAGATCTTCCTTTTTTGTTTCTTTTTTCTTTATTTTTTCAACGATCGCGCTTTGTTCTGTCATTGAAAATAATTCTTTATCAATATCAAGATACTCAACTATAGCTTGTCTAGTTGAATAACAATTTGTCTTTCTCAATCTATTGATGGTGTTATCTTTTCCGAGAAGTTTGGAAAGTGTTATGACAAAATTCCACTTTTGTTACTTCTTTTTCATTTTGTCAATATTACTTACACCATTGTCTCCACATTTGTTAAGTACAAACAGAATATAACTATTATGGAGAGCCAAATCAATAATGTGATAGAAAAAAACCAAAGGCCAACGTCTTGAGGGACGCTTACAACAATGACTCTTCATACTTTGGTCTGCTTGGTCTACTCCACACATGTATTTGTTGTACCTAAGGATCGATTGGAACTTTCCCGTTTCAGAGTGGTCGGTACTTTTTTTTAACTACAGATTCTTGGTGAGATGTAACTGACGTTAAAAGAATAACATTCCTATTCTTTTCTACAAAGGAAACCAACCGAATGGTTTGTATACTTCCTTTTATATATATCATCTTCTCAAGTACCTTTTGTTTGATTAGAGAAGGTGTACAAGCTTTTCGAGACTTTGTAATGTCTAATTTTGATTCACTTGGCACAAATTTCCTGTTTATGTTGACTGTTCCATTTAAATAAATGTCATATTCAAGAAGTTTGGTGCACAACTTTTCACTTGTAAAAAACCTATCAACATTTAGCGTTGATTCAATTGGATGTTTAACTTGTAATTTTTTAAGTAATTCAATCACGACAAGTCCTCCGATATCACGTACAGGTTCTCCATTGTTTGATCCTCTATAAAAAACGAATTTAAAACAAGGTTGGTTGTAGAGTCTGCCAACAAAAAAATTTCATACCATATTTACCCGGCTTCGATGGCATGAAAGTTTTGTTACAATAATTACCATAATAATTGTATAAATTTTCATCAATTGATAATTCAGAACTACAACGGTAAAGTTCTGGATAAATACTGACCAAATTTTCATTGAATGCATCATATATTATTTTAATATATGAAAAGTTATCCGAGTCGTTTTTATCTTCTGGATAAATAGAGTTTGCAGGATTTGATATTTCATATTTATTTGTATCACTGTCTTGTGTTATAGTGTCTACCACATTGGTGTTATTTATATGTTGAATTCTGATAATTGGATCTAATGAACTCGTGTTTCTTATGGGGACTGTTGAAGTTGAACCGACTACTTGTTGAAAAGGCAAAGGATACACAAGTGGTCTTATTGGTTGTAATCGAAGTTGTGTGGTTAAGTTAGTAATATGTCTTGTTGGTGTCTGTTGTTGTGAAACGATTTGAGATGTCATGGGGCGTTCGTCGTGTCGAAGCATATGTGAAGGAAGCATTCTGAGTTGAGTGGTTCTGGTATTCGTGATACGTTGTGTTGATATTGGTACTTGAAAACTAGCAGTTTGTTGTAAAGAACACATAGATGTATTGCCATCTTCAATTGTTTGGCTTTGTGTTGTGACAAAATCACAATTAAAGTCCAAATCTACTTCTGGGGTAGATGTTCTTGTAATCGGTGATATCTCTTGTTCTTCTTGGTGATCTTCTTCTAATACATCTTCGGAATCTTGGGAAATGTCATCAGTAACACTTTTAAACTCGATTCTTGCAATTTCTCTTAAATACGCACCATCATCAAATCTCAAATATTTTTTGATGAGTTTGTATTTCTTTAAAGATATTGGTGCTTTATATAATATACTTGATTTTTCACTTTGCCACAACGCATCAAGTGCAATTTTATTATCTTTGAATTGTCCTTGTATTATTGTTACTGCAAGAAATGCGTTAAATTCTTCAATTGAAATATCTTTCCATTCAATTTTATCTGATTCCACATCATTTTTAATGTTATTATAAATACTCATTTGTTTTCCGTACTCATTAGTGAAATTTATACAAAGTTGTTTAATATTGTTATTT